AATAGCGTTAGGAGTTTTTTTATTTTTTTAACTTTATTTTGCCAGTTTTTCTAATAAACATAACAAACTTATAGACATTGGGACATGAAAAGAAATCTATTCCCCCCACCCCCCTAAGCGCCTTCTTAAACAAATTGATTAAATATTAACAAAAATAAACCAAGAAAATACCAAAAACAATACCAGAAAAGTCAGACAGGAATTGATGAAATTGACCATTTTGAGAAAATTACACACTGCACACACTAAAATATGTTGAACTATCAATACAACTAGTGTTTAAGACTCGTATCATTGAAAGGGCGAATCCTTCTACGCAATTCTACTAAAGGGCACTCCAAGCCAGAGTGAAGTTTTTGCGGACTTATACATATCTTGTATCTCATTTCTCCAGAAGTAGAAAAATCTAGTACCTGCCCTTCAACCACTGCAAAAATGACGGGTTGTATTTGATTTCCAATAAAAGAGTATTAGTCTGCCGTGCAACGCAGGGAAGCAAATGCAAAGCATTCATTGCTTGTTAAATTTGAGACTTTGCCAGCCTGGGGGGTGGTACGCCAAAGTGGTTGTTGATAGTCAGGTGCCTAAGCTCTGGACCCACAGATTTTGGAAAATACATCAAATATCTGGTTTCCAGAGTTGCTTGAGGGAGGTCATGACCAAAACATATGTTCCTATTTGTGGGTGGGTACATGCTGCACCTCGGACAGTCAACGATCTACAGTGGGAAAGAGTTTGGACAATTTATCCTTTGAATAGTGCAGGCGATGAAGCACTTTAACTTGAATTAAAACCATGGCGTATACACAATTACGAGGTATGCATACGTTTAAAGACAATTTGCACATATCATCAGAGAGCCTTCAAACCCCCAAATCTTTCTTCCCATGCCCAGATCTTAGTATTATCCCCATTGGATATTGGTTTCAAGTCTCCCTATCATATTGTAAAAATAACAGATAACACGGGTCTTCTTCTCACTAGGGATCCAGTTTCTAGAATTGCCCATCTTAAATGATCTCCCCTAATGATGGGTTTTGATAAGGAACGGAGGAAAACTTTTCTCTGGTAACAACTAACATCTGAAAAAACCTAAATAATGCGATCTGAGGTATAATCTCATGGTCAATTTCCGAGAAATCACAGAAAAATATCAAACCCAGCTTTCTCATGCCAAGTATTTAATGCATTGTCAAACCCAGATGGGAAGAAGATTTAGGGTTATTTGCTATTGGAAAATATCTGCCTATTGCTTTAAATCAAAAAGTTCTCCAATACCTGCTAATCCAATTCCTACAGGGTGAAGCTTCCAACAACCCGCTTGTGAAACTGTAACAAATATGTATAGGTAATGATGACTGCTGAGCTGTTTTGGTAGGGCGGTTGGCATAGTAGTTCCAAAATGAACCCAGCTCTGGACCACTGCTTACTCTCTAGGTGTAAATCCACATAATATATTGACTATGTTAGCAGGGGCCCAGTAAATACCAAAGACAATTAGGTCAATCCAACCCACCGGCATCTTTAGAACCTCCACGGTACTTTCTTCATCCCTAAGGATTAGAATTGTTCCCCATATAAATGAAGAAATTAGTCCTACTTACTGTTTAAATGTTTTCATGGCGGATAAACTATGGGGATCATCTGACAACACATAAGAAATCTAGGTAGGACTGTCATTTTAACTTATTTAATGCCGACACTGCTAATGAGATCAGCCGTAATGTTGACCATTTCCCAAGATCTTGTTTTGTGTTTTTTCGAGGATAGAGGATTTCTTAAAGTGTTGTGTTGGGCTGGCAAGAGTTCTCTCATCTCATGGGTAACCCTTCCTCCCCCTCTACCCGACCATCATTGTTAATACCATATCTGTAGTCTTCCCTCCCTCCACTCTCCCCCTCCCTCCGCACGCGAACACTTTGGGAGTTCTATTTGTCCGCGGCCAACTTGGAAACAAAGAGGGCGGAGCCGAGACTCTTGAAGTAGATTACAATTTGTAGCCTGAGAGAACGGATGAACCAAATAATAAAGTGGGAATTACTCCACGGCTCGCACTCAATCAAATATATTTGTAATCGACTAACTGATCGGTTTGATGAAACTTATTATTACAAAACAGCCAAAACAAAGAAATCCCTCCCGCAACCCTCCACCTCTACGCGCCCCACTTCTCCATGGACCTTTTCTGGGCCGCCCACGGGACGCCACTACCAGTACCCCGAATACCCAAAATCTTCTGCTACTAAAAGGAGCACTATATATGCGTAATAGGGGTGTTCGATCCCGCCTCTCTGACAGTAACGAATTCTGATACTTCAGATTATTGGGAGAGAGAGCGCTGAGGCGCAATGAGGCCCTGACCGTCGACCTACGAGAACGAATAACTGGGTAGAAGGTGGAAGAAAATGGTCAGCGCGGGGCAGAGCACTAGATGAATAATATTAAGACCCGCAACAAGCTGCCCTCACGTGGTTGTCATCACTATATATTTGATCCACGTTCAAAAAAATGAACGGAATCCAAAGCACCAATAATTTTCTTTTAGGATCTCGGCATATATTCTATATGTTATCTGCTCCTATTTCTACTTTATCGATTTCATAATGCTCTTCTTTCAGCCCACCTCCCACCAAGGAAGATTAAACCGCGCGGATCTTCTCTGTGTGCTTCTCCCTGTTGCTGGAGTCGTCGGGAGGGGGGGCGGGGGGAAGGGCCACACCGAACACCCTATACAGAAATATATAAATTAATACTGGCGGCGAGGGGGGGAGGGAGAGATGCGCGGATCTCAGGTAGAGAGGCGCGGGTGTGGGGAAGAATAGCGGTGGAACGCCACAGTTTCTGCGTTCCGCGGTCGTATGACTGTATAGAGATATCATGCATAACCAATTTTACTCTCCGCTAGTCTTCAGGATGTAGTGCAATATCGCGCGTGGGCAATAACAATTTTTTAGGGTGTGAGCTGAATTTTCCATATGTGTACTCTCCTGTGCGGCAGTTCCTCTACAATAAGGTCAATGTTTCGCGGCTAGTCACTAGTGCCTGCATTAAGGTTAGGGAGTCTGATCATGCTCTCTTTTGATGGATGCGCGGTCTGCATATTATGCTCCTTCTGATTGTCTATGGTGTGTATGTTTTATTGTATTCGTTCCAAGATAATTGTCCTTAGATTTACAGATTTGGCTATAGTATATCGTATGATAGTATCTTACAGGGGACAGTAGTTCTTTGGTGGTGTCCTCTGTTCTTATGCACTTTTTCATTATAGTTTGAAATTGTTCAGATTTGTAGACCACTCCTCTCACTTCTCTCCAGCGTATTTAGCGTTAGCCGCCTGGCCTGCATTCGTATTTTGTGAGTGTGGGCTCCCTCGCGTTTCACCTGTATGTAGATCCCGCTCGTAAGTGCTAATGCGAGCTGATCGGTTGCCAGACGTACGTATTTGAATCACTCTGTAAATTGTGTCCTGCGGTTCGTACAGGAGTGGCTTGTGTGTATGTCTGTGTGCCACCTTCTTTAGAGAATTGTTCGAGTTAATGTCATATAACGTTGTCACTGCTGGTGGTCTTGGGTAATTAGTGGTGTTACGCAGTCATATTAGAATTGTTTCAGATTTGCGTATCGATTCAAGTCGTTAAATGGTCAGTTGTGGGGTGTAGGTAGTGTTTTGTTCCCCAAGCTTCAGCGTTCGTATGGAAAGTGTGTGGGGTGTACATTGTGCTAGTTGAGCGTGCGAGAGCTCGTCACAGTGTTTTTGTGTGGGTTTCGTAAAATCAGCTTTCCTAGTCCTACTCATCGGTCGATCTTGTAGATAAAATTATTTGTTTTTTGAGTTTGTAAAATAGAAAATTTCCTGTCTCAGTCTCGTATTTTGTTTCAATATGGTGTTGAGCGTTATCACGTTCAGTTCTTTAACATAGATTTACATTTCCGCACCATTTTGCTTAGTGGGCATCCTACATGTTGTGTTCGGAGCGTGTCTAGCATATATTATATGGTTCTACACATACCGCTATAAGTATTGTAGAGACGTAATTAAGGATAGACCTTTGAGAGACTGGTTTCTGCATTACCTCAGACCCCCTGGTTAAAACGCTGACTGCCTGGATCCTCTGCAGTTGCGTACCAGGCCAAACTATCGCGTGGATGGATGGCATCCATCTAGCCTGCTTTTACAGAGCTTACACCCACCTGGAAGTCACAAGGAGCACGTGAAGATCAGTGTTCTTCGACTTTTCCAGCCTTCGACACCATCCAGCCTCTCCGCTTGGCAGAGAAGGCTCTCTGTGATGCAGGTTGGATCAGGCCTCGTGGCCGGATCACTGACTACCTCAACTGACAGACACAGTATGTCCAGAGCTGCAAGCTGCTTGTCAGGATGTGGGTAACGAGCAGCATGTACCACCCGAGGAACGTACTGTCACCGTTTCAGTTCACCCTCTATACCTTCTGACTTCTGCTCAAACCCTGGAGCGTGGCTCACGTAAAAGGTCTTCATAACATGTGACGTTAAGGCTACAGGCCTGAAGTCTTTGAGAGCGCTGGGTCTTCCTTTTTTGGGAACAGGAACTAAGCAGGAAGTAGCTCAGTAGGATTCTAACACAGGACTATGTTGGATATTTTCAGGTACGAACCTCAGGCTGAAGGAATCGATGAGAGCAGGAGGAAGCAGGAGCTGGAGAAAATCAACACTGAGCTGCTGAAGAAACTACAAGAGCTTGACACCGATATCATCTTCTCCACTGGTTAGTACCTCTTCACCTCTGAGAGGCCTGTGACAAATGAAACTCACTCTATTTATCTTAACACTATTTTTTTTGTGTCTTCTCTTTCCCCAGGCCCTGAGTTTGGGACACAAGAGGACTGTATCTTTGTTGGCATGGTGACTGAGGACGTTGATGTTTCAGAGCTGGTGAATACAATAGCTACCCTCGGGAGGGACATAGAGGAGAGTGGAAGGGTAGGTGCTATATTCATTTCATAGGATACTTGAAGGTGGTTAGACAGTCACAAAAAGTGTTAACAAAGATTAAATGAAATAGTGAACACAATAACTGCAGGAAGTTTGTGGAAAAATCTTGAGACGAGTTCACCTGATATTTTTAGGAACTTTTCATACAGTTCTATGTATTGTATTTCTTTTTTTTTTACATTATTAACAATCAGACATACTTCATAGGCTCCTTAGTTTCCTTACACCCCTTAAAATCAAGAAGGCCTTGCGACCCTCCTTGCAGCTTTAGCCATAGGAACCATTATTCTAATTGATAAATGTCAGCTTTTATTGTTAACTGTATCAATGAAGAATGATGATAATGATAATGATAACACCATTACAGGAAGAAATCAATCACAATCACAGAGAATGAATTAACCATAATAAATTGTAGATTGTTAATGTATTAAAATATCTCCTTTAAGTTGTCCCTGGTTGTTAAAATGGGATTACCATTCAGCTCTGATGTTACCATTGACTGTATATAAAGATGGATAACATGACTGCTCCCAAAAGCGAAGACAGCTCCCAAAAGTCCAGATAGCTCCCCAAAAGTAAAGACAGCTCAGTAATGCTAAACTTTACAATGGAACTCCACAAAGCAATGGGATAGGCTCTAACTTGAGCCAAACTGAAAAATCAACTTAAATGTCAAATACATTTTTCCCAAACACAGCTTCTGTAATTTTGGGTAGTCACGTTCAATGTTAATATTTTGATAAGTTTGATATTAATTAGTTGTTTGAAGCTATAAAAAGGGTTTTTCACATCATAATTGAATAATTGATAAGCTCATCATAATTGAAAGCTGAGCCTTGCTTGTGATTGAGTCAGCCAGGTGTATTACTGGTTCCTCGATACCGCAGCGCCACCTCTGATGACTACTATGCAGACCCTGGCTCCAAATCATGTTACCAGTGCAAAATGGCAGCAGCTGACGTTTGGTCCATCTTTATATGCAGTCTATGATTGTTACACAGGGATTTTTGTTGTAGAGTATAAATATAAATCATTATTTACATTTTCTTTCCTGTGCAGCTTTTGGAGAACATGACAGAGGTGGTGAGGAAAGGCATCATGGAGGCAGAGCTGCAGCTGCAAAAGGCCAATGAGGAGAAACTCATGGAAGAGGTGTGTGTGTGTGTGTGTGTGTGTGTTTTGTTAGAATTCATTTTGAATTTATAGTGTGATGATGATGAAATGATGAAGGTGAACTTGCATTTAGGATCAGGGTTCTGGTTTAGAATTAGATCACAACAGATAAGGTTAGGTTTAAGGTAAGTAAGAGATAGAGAAGAGATAAAGTAAATGTTAACTTGCTCTCTGGCTTTATTGATTGTGTTTTATAAGGTTTACATGTTAGTATAGAAATCTAATCCCTTCACATTTTTTGTCTCTGTCTGTTTTAGGGAGTGATGAGACAGCTTCCTCTGGTTGGCTCTGTGTTAAACTGGTTCTCTCCAGTTCAAAGCTCCATAAAGGGCAGGACCTTCAACCTGGCTGCAGGTACAGTGCTGTGTGTCACTGTTAATATTAAAGAATTCTGAAAATGTCAGGAGGGAAAGAATGTGTTCCAGTATTTGGGATATCTAGCATTTGAACCAGGAAAACTAAAACTAATAACTAACAGCAGTCAACGTCAGACAACTTTAAAGCTGCAGTAGGTAACTAAAAATAACCAGATATTAACACTGGAAACAAGACTCAAAAATCAACTATCTTCAAGCCAGTTACCTAGTGTTTCTGTAGTGGTGACCAAAATTATACATTTTAGCAGTTTGAATTCAACTAAAAGCTCCATGTGCCAAACTCCCTTTTAGAAACATCACATTTTAACAATTCCTCAGAAGATTCTGGCCCTTGGACACATGTAGTTGATGACCTCTGATCTAGTGTAGTGAGACCATGACACTCTGAAGTCACTCTAATGTAACCTTTCAACCCAGTAACTTGGAAGTGCAACAGAAGCAAAGGGGAGCTTTGGGGTAGTCCAGAATGCAAGGTCCAATGTCACATGAATACTACTGTAGTTTTCCAAACTTCACCCAACTTCACTGCTCTGTCTTTGTCTTCTATACATGTATACATGAAAGTATGTAAATGTCTGTCAGTATTTGTGTGTAATATGCACATAAATGTTAATGGTGTGTGTCCACAGGTTCCCTGGACTCCACAGAGGTGACTTACTCCACCAAGGCCCAAACAGGCAGGCCGTCCCTGCAAGACACTCCCACCTCCTCATCAAAGAGACTGCCAGGTGAGACTTCAGTCAACACTCAAAAATAATACTGCCCTACAAAGGCTAACCGCAGTAGCTACGCCAACAATGAAACTGAGAAATTTTTTTATTATCCAGCCAAATGTGTTATAGCTAAAACAGCAGTTATGTGCTTATTAAATACGTATTCTTTGAGTACTTTTAATGACCTTAAAATCAAAGATAATTTGACCATTGACCCCAGAAATACAGATACTGCACTCTTTCTTTGTATTACCTTCAACACATACATATATGTAGTAGACTTTGAGAGTAACAGATTACATGTAACTGAATAATGTAATCAGGATACAAAAAAGGTAACTGTAATCCATTAAACAGAGGACACTGTTTTTAATGCAAAAATTGTGCAGTAACTACATTCTTAGTGTCTTCTGCTTGAGAAATTCCAAATCTAATTTGATGTTTATTACATTCAATATTGATTCTGTGTAAATAGTTGAAATAAATGAGTAACTTTATTTTGTGAGGTTTAACCTGTTATTTTAATTGTAAAATGTATGCAAACATGTTTTTAGAATTAGATTTTGATCTTAACATCAATCAAACCTAGTATGATAAACATTACAACGGTTTTAATTTTTGCTGTATATATTACAAATTGAAGTTGTATAAAATATGATTTAGCTACATAGTGTGAAACCGAGGGAGAGCGCAGTAACAGTTACTATGTTTTACCTTGGTTTTTGGTTAGTGCAATTTTTTTTTTCTTTAAGATAAAGTAGGACTGAACTTAGAAACTTTGTAACAAGATAAAACAGACATTCCACTTAAGTCATAGCTCAATTTTGACCAAAATTCTAATAACTATGGTTTTTACTTTGTAAGGGGAAAAAATCACATGATAATTCAGTGTATTGTACATTTCCACAGCAACTCCAACAGCACGACAACAGTCCTGTAATACTCACCACTCTTCTGCTTTCACTCTCTTTTTAAAACAAATACTGTTTTCATTCACCGTTAATTTCTAGTTCCCGTTTTTTGACCAGTGATAAGGTACCATCAGCATTAGAAAAGGTTGATGGTAATGGCAAAACTTCTATAATTACTCAAAAAAAGGTTTTATGCTTGATTGAGGTGTTTTTCCCCTTTTGGTAAAAGAGTTAATGCTCTTAATAGGAGATGGAAAAATGTTTTCCAACTTACATGACTGATGAGCTGTGTCCTACTTGCTCCCATGGCTCTATAATACATCCACGATTGCTCCACACAGATCTCATACAACCTTCCTCACATTAATACATGAAAAAAACATAAATGTCATATTTCTATCCTGTTTTTCACCGTTTGAGCTTCCACTGCCGCTCTTTTGATTAGGTGATCTTGTTGTGCCCCCTTCTTCTGGTTTTCCGACTAAAGAATTGGCGCTACCTACTGCTTAACTCATGATATTTGCGTCAAGTAGTGGATGGAAAACATCAGCAGTTGTTCAGATCCATTTTTAAAATATGAACATGATGTAAAAGATACCACCTTTTAAAACATACTGAACATAGATAAATGTTCATTGTCATTTAGTTTGATATGTGTTGCTGCATACAGTACAGAGCAGTAATGTCATATTGCTATGAATTCTGTACAGATTTGTGATACATTTGGATGAAAACACTACTACTTACAGAATTCTGGGTATTTGTGGGAAACGACATCCCATACCTTATGCATTTCCTGTTCTGCATTTTCCTCATAGGTCAGAGGTTATTCCAGCGCTCAGGGGGGGCAGGCTTTGACTCCTTCAGTGAAACCAGTTCCATCGGACAAGCCGAGGAGAGCACAGGGGAGGGGAGCACAACTCTGAGCAGCAGCTTCCACCCACCCACCCCTCCACCCGCACCCGAGGAGAACTCACAGCCTGTGAGTGACGTCATACAAGAGAAAGTCCCAGAGTCCTCTGTGCAGGTGAACGCACAGGTGGAGGCTGAAGTGCAGACTGAAGAGGAGAGACAGCCTGAAGGCCAAGAGGTGGAGCAGAGCGAGAGATAGGATGACTCTTTCTGCAGGCGTCCTCCAACCGTCCTCAAAATGGTACCAGCCTAACTAACAGATGTTAAAAACAAAGGTGTTATTACATTGTGAATCTAACTCTTCCAGTTTTGAAGGAAAAGCTGATGGAGATTGGGCTGTTTCCGTACCATTGTTTCAAGACAGCAAGAAAATCCACCCCGGCTACTCTTTCTTTGCATTCTAGTTATTTACTGATTAAAGATGCAGTAGGTAACCTTTTAAAAAAAATAACTTTTTGTCATATTTGCTGAAACTTTCATTATATCCTGACAGTAGTACATGAGACAGATAATCTGTGAAAAAAAATCTGGCTCCTAGTG